GTTATTTATAATGAGATAAGTAGAATCGTTTTATTATATACTGGACGATATATCCTCGATGTGTCCTCTTGCATTTTCTATGCTTTTATTTAGAGAGAAGGGTTCTTAGAAAAACAGAATACGTTTTAATTGAACATCATATGGAGGATTGTATAATTTTTTACCGATAAAGTGCATAAGTGGATCTATCTATGGAATATGAAAAATTAATTTTGACTATAGATATCTTACGAGTTGTCCTGTGCTTTCAAATAGCAATGTTCGATCGATCAATGTTCTTTCTAACTTTTATGAAGCATAAATGTCTGTGATGTATAGAAAGAATTCTATCAGGTGGGAGAGCTTATTTTTATTTGATCCATAAACCTGGAACATTTACTGTTTTACAAACTCAATGTATGATTCGACAATGTGATGTTACGTATGAAAATAGTAACCATAATTGTAATCGAACTTTCATATTATTGCGAAGAGAGCAACATAAATAAATAAAAAGTTCAATTATTTTTTTAAGTTTTTTAATTACGACACCCGTTGAAAATCTTATATGAATCGTGTCGCCACCTCCGCATTGTATATGAACTTTAATGGACATGGCCTCTGCATTGTCATGTAAGTAGACAGAAATAATTAATATTCAAGTAATTGAAATATCGTCATTCAAAATTTCTTAATTACTTACGTTATTCAAGTGAAAAAACAATGTAAATGCTCCAAGAACTTCACTCCTATTACCTGTGTACGAGTATGTCGGCAATACCATTAATACTTTAGACATACTCGAAAATGCAATAAAAGAAATAACAAAAGAAATATTAAGTATATTTTATGCTTAACACAAAATGTTAATAACAACTAACTGATCCGAATATAAGTGTAATGGAATATAAATCTGTGATGCTAATATAAATATCAATATAATTTATTCAAGAAATTTGCTAAAATTCAAACTTTACATTACTTTCGCATTACTTTTTCAAACTACTTAGAGTTAATCACTGTGTAATATGAAAAAGACGCTTTCAGGACCTGAAAAAGAATTAATCGTTAATAAATCAGTCAATTATTTTCTAAAAGCAATACTCAGGTGTTCTGCAATACAAAGTGATTCAGCTAACCTGTACGAAAGTATACAAATTCAACGGGATCAATCCTCCGCCCGTTAATACAGGCAGATTTAAACATTTTCGCAATGCCAATACGTATAACAATTGCGTTTTCGACGGACCATCGTACCACTTGGCTTCGTATCTACACATCAAATCATATCGTGAATTTAATTCGGCTTAACTGGAACATGTTTTCGAATCAATGAAATTCTTACAACTTGTTTCAAATCTATAAAAATCGGAAACGCTCTACAAGAATATTTTAGCGATCTTACATTGTTCGAAAAACTTTATCGTTGGAATTGACCACAAACTGTCCCATTATCATCACAAAGAGTAGATGAACCAACTGTGCAACAATGAACACCCAAAATATAAAGTATCTTGCTTCCACTTCCATTATTGATATCTAACCAACAGACAATAAAATCATTTATGAAATTAACTTTCGTATATTGATCAAAGTGACATAAGTCTGTGGTCACGATGAATTTCTATTTAAATATAAACGTCAGACATGTGTATACCTCGTGCTAGTACATTTCGTAATTGGAAAAGTTGAATAATATTGTGTACAACAAAGGAATTCATAAAAAGATCATTGTAGAATATATGTGCAACAAAAAGAGTTAATTGTCTTTGGCAAATACGAAAACTAAAAAGTGTCGCAACACATGTTGGAGAGTGGCCATTATATTCATTATAGTCATAGTGTAAGTCTGTTAATTAAAGTTGAAGTTGCGACGATGATAAAATTACCGCAGTTAAATTTCTATTCGCGTAATGAAACCTACCCTCACGAAAGTAAATGTGAGTGCCATTATTATGAAGCCCAAAACTAGGAAGAAGTAATGCATGTAGCAGGCGTCGATTTTACCCACGTACCTATCGTGAGCAAAAATATGCAAGATATCTGACAAATACGATACATGTATTGCTTATTATTGGACTGCGGATTTTTATGTAATTTTTCTTAGGAACACAATAAAAAAGGAAACAGAGAAACTTGTTAGAAAATTGTTTTTACGTAATATTAGATGCCATAAAGAGAGCTGAAAATTGCATATTTTACATATTTTCTCATACGTGATCTCTTTAATCCACAGCGTGTGCAATTTCATAATTCAAAATTTCCGCAGAACATAAAAATTCGCAATCTATTTATTACACAATATGCGGTAATACTAACTTGACAGCTTTTTTATGAGCCTCGATGGATCGGCAAACTTTCTCGTAAGTTATACTCATTAACGTATCGCTGTACCTTTCGTCACAAAGGTTCGCATCATCCATTGCGTGCTTGAAACGATACCTGTATATATATTTTTCTTAATCACGTGTAGTCAAATAGGTCAAAACATGACAGACCTATAATGACCTATAATTTAATAATTCATTGAGATGACAATGCCTCTTAGCGCCAATTACTCAAATTCAAAGCAATTTCATTTCACACTGCAAATATATTTGCTACTTAATTGACCAACTTTTTCGTTTCGCCAAAGTCATATTAACAACTTCACTCTTCTTGCAGTAATTTTAAAAATAAGATTAACCAAGATGTTTCTACATGAGTTTCATCGATACCTAGA